GGAGTAGCAAGAGTGCAAAATGCCCCCTCCCTGGCCGCAGAACTACCCCGAAAAGACTCACAGGAATTCACAAGTGGATCCCAATTCTTCAGTAACGCTGGGTATCTCTCGCACCAGCGTTGTACGGGAGGGCTTCGATAGTTGAGAGAATGCTCACTGCGTGCTTTTTGATATTTGGACTCAAAAACCTTGAGTGAACATCCCATATGGGTCTCCAATTACTCATAAGTGTGTCTGGAAGATTGTATAATGGGACCCAGAAAAGCTTCATGTCCGTGCAGATTTAATGTGACACGCTCGTAAACTTGTCCTGTATTGAGTTTCTATGGAATCAAGCTGATTAATCTGGGTGCAGTTCGGCGACGGGGGGGGGTGGCATTTTGCACTTCCATTGCTTCCCTGGTTGTGGTTTACAGGTCCCACTTGGTGGAACCTGTGAACACTGTGAAGCAGAAGCAAGGTCGTCAAGCCATCATGAAAAACCTGCCAACTCGAGAAGTGGCTGTCTAGATAGGACACACAGAAAAGTGTGTAGCTAAAGTTCAAAATGCCACCACGCCCCCGCTCCTCCCGTCTCACCATTAATAAAGATGCACTTATGATAGCCTATACCTTATCATGGATAAGGCGGCTCAGTATCTTTCAGGTGAGTTTGCGAGAAGCTAAGTCATACCGGCTCGTCCAAAATCGTCAATCTAAAGGTGTGATCGAAGGGGGATAGAATGTCGGTTTTCAGGTTTCCTTAGTTAGCGCAATTTCTTCTCATAAAAGTGGGTCAGAGGATGAAAGAAGTAGAAAAAGTTAAGGTCCTCTTCTCGTTCTAGGTTCGCGAAAAAAAAGGCAAAGACGGTTGGATTGATGTTTGTATTATTTTTGGTGTATGTGCCAGAGCTCAGAACCTTTCTTTTGTCTCCTTCCACCCTAATTCTGATTTAGCTCAACTTTTTTTCCTCACATGCGAGCTGATTATTGCTATGTCGACAGGTTATCTACTGTTGTGATGTGGTATGCAGGGAGTACAATGGTGAATGCTCGCTTTTTCAAAACTTTGAAACACTTTTTTCGCTCCTACCCCCCCCCCCACACACACGCACTGCATTCGGCAGGATACCATGTGGAATTTGGTGGAGTTGACGGACTTACTGACATGGTATGCGGAGCTGCTGTGCTATTATCGCGACTTGCAGTGTTGGCAGGCCACTGTTCTCCACCACCAATAGTTCCCCCGCTTAACGCTGCCCCCTTTCATTTCATCCGTTTTACAATAATTTCATGTTACCGCTTATGAATTTCATGTTGTCTTACGAGTCAATGTTTACATAGCAATGTCACGATCTGTTGCTTTACTAACGATAATAAATCACAATCGTGCTAACCGGCAATCGCCAAATTCAGGGTCCTCAAAAGGCACACTTGAAAGGTGGGCTAGCATGAGCGTGAGGTGAATAGGGTCAAGGAATAACTTGAGAGGTACCTTTGCCATCTGCAAACCGTACGGCAGCGTTCATAGTTCGCGACAGCAGCGGCGATCGTGGCGATCGCCGCGATCGTCGGTGCATGGCAGCGCGCGCCCCAACGCTATTGTGGATGCTCGCCTGATGAATAAGGGAATTCAACTTGTAAGACCTTCTTTACTCTTAATAAGGGCTACTAACAGATAAGCTACGACTTTCTACACATAAGCAGATCTGGAATATGAGGTAAGAAGGTTTCACTTCCTTTTAGGTCGGGGTAAGACCAACTCCATTTCCTGGGTGAGCTTCTTTTTTTGTTTTTATTGTTTCAACTTATGCATGCGCCTCAGGAATTCGCTGTTCCAACTTCCAAAACATTCATAGTTTACAAGTCGAGTTCAAACAACGAAGAAAAAAAAGAAACAGAAAGAAACTCTCCTAGGAACCAAAGCACTAATCATTTTACGCGACATCAACAGGTGAAAACTTCATAAACCTCATGTACAACCTCGACGAATGAAAAAAGAAGCAATAAAAACGTACCTCAAGTGAAGCTCTCGCGCTTTTTGCTCATTTCTATCCTAAATAAGAAAGAAAATAGAAAACAAAAGCGATTAAGCTGGGCTCACCTTCCCTTGTGTCAAACCAAGCTTCAGTACCTAAGGAAATTGCAGTTAAAGAAAAAAAGCATAAAATTGAGCCGCTTACCCCCAGAAGCCTTCGGAGCGCAAGTAATAGCGTTGGGGCGCGTGCTGCCATGCACCGACGATCGTGGCGATCTCGGCGATCGCCGAGATCGCCTCGTGCTTAGCGATCAATAGATCGAAGCGAGCGAGACTGAGTAGGGCACAGTACTGCATCCTTGTGGGCAGTATAAAAGCCTGCTTCTCAAGAAGATCGGGATTGCTGGAAAAGATGCCCTCCTCTCTTGGGAAACTCTCGCCCTGGGTTGTTCTCCTGTTCCAATACGCCAGAGAGCTGGAACATTTTCCGTTGTGTAGCTCGGTTGATTGATATTTGTTATTTATGTCTGCTGAAGTTCTACTTGTCACAAAAATTACAACTTATACGTCGTAATCGCGGAGCACAAGGAAGTTGAAGGTCACAATTACCTGGCCCCTGGCAGCTGCAGGTGTCACATCCATGACTTACATTCGAGTAACTGGCCAAAGTCGCCTGGAAAGAGTCGTATCTCGGTCATCCTGGCAGCCGCGCATACGCCTTATACCTGCATGCACTGAAAAGGTCCTGCTTGCTCTTTTATCACCTGCAAACATATCTTTCGGAGTTTATAGACAAGCCCAACCTCAGGTAACTGAGGCACAAAAAAGCCATCTCAGTAGTGATCTCACTCACGCCCAACAATTACAGCACCAAGGGCGATCATGGAAACACAACCACTGGGAGGACTGTCTAGGAGGAGAAACTTGCCAAGTCTTTTTATTCGGACATTGGCAGAAATGGGAAATGGCACTGTTTTGGGTATATACACTGATGCAGGACGAGAGGTGATTTAAGAATTGTCACTTCGCCATGCTAGTGCACGTCCTACACTGATCATTCTCACTGGCATTATCGTCTCATCGTTGTTTCTTATCGGTGGTTTCTGCTGCTTCTGCTCCCCTTGCTCCTCTTCCAATGGAGTTGAGCACATTTTTGTGCTAAGTGGAGACCCGAGGTTTGGACGGTCCATCTTGAGCATCTCAACTCAAATTATACTCATTTATGTTGTTTATGGAAGATATTCATAGCGTCAGCGATTGAGTCATTTATTGCATGTCTATAATAGTTCTGTGAGCATCCTTGAAGATCAAACATGAGGCGAGTTCTCATGGGACCGGAAATCAGTAACACTGAGTAAGCATTTGTGTGTCTATGCCGAGAGGTGTGACTTCTATCGTTTCATGAGGTTTCGACTGAGTCTTTGTCCTTCGAGTACTTACGATCTGGCTCACAAAGCGCTCATGTTGTCTAGCGATTTTGCCATCCTATAAAGGGCTTTGAAGGAAATTCCAAGCAATTTAAAGACACAAACGCGGGTTTCCACAATTCGGACAGAACACCACACAATTGTGCGTTAGCAAGCGGATGCGTACTGTATTCCCTTCTGACACTAGGGGACGCAAGTAATGTTGTTCGTATCCTACCGTTCGCACTGCTATACAAGGTGCAAAGCTTCATGGATTATCGAGGGCACACATCTTGATCGTAACTGGGTTTTTTTTAGTGTGTTCTCAAACTATCTTAGAGGGAGTGCTGTTTCATGCTTCAACATGTGCATGTTTCGAGCTCAATGCTATTACACTTCTCATGCTTCTGCTTCCCAAGAGCTCTACAACGTACCTGCTTCTCACATCAGCTAGGTGTTCTCGGATGCACTAATGAATTCACTCTTACTCCTACAATCGAGGTTTTATGGTAAGCTACGATAAGTTAGGTACTGTCTTCTCACTTACCTGTAGGGAATTGCTTCAATTCAATTAACGATTTTTTTAGGATGTTCACTGACTGAACGTGATCGTGTTATAGGCTCTTCGCCTTATCTTGATCTGAGTGGCAGCAGTTGTTTTGTCAGATACAAAACGAGACGAGGACACGTTGTTCTGACGTGGGACCTTGCTTTGAAGTGTTATGCCATTTTTGTGGCCTTCTTGTCGCATAGTTGTTAGCTGTGGCTATTTTCGTACCCACTGCTGTGATTGGTATCCATTCACATCACCTATACATATAGGTGTAGCCGTTTTGAGGCCCAGCCAACAACGGCACGTTCTCAGCATTAGGATGGGCGGATATCCCTTCAAATTGAATGTTAGAAGCTACTTTAGCGGTACCATCCTACATAAATAACTACATTGTGTACTTTCACCTACTGAGATACTGAGACCACTCGTCCTGTGGCGCTCAAGTACGTAAGGCAGCGTTCGAAATTTGCGACGGCAGCGCTTGGGTGTGGCGCGTTAGAAGCGATAGATACACATGCTTTCGACTGCGTCGATCGTGCGGCCGAAGCCATACCGTCGCGCAGGCTCTAGCTCTTCGATCTTAATCACGAAACTCACAGTAAGACGTGCTGCCAAGCTTTGACACCTAGAAGTGTCGGATTTGCGGACATAGCGCCTAGCTGAGCCAACTCATTTTGAGTCATGCATAGGCTACAAGGTCTGCCCTATTCTTGATATAAAGTGAAGTCACTTCGAATGGCTCTCTCATTGCACTTTTTTCAGCTCTGTATGTCCGCAGAACTTCGAAACTTATTGTGTTGGGAGCGTAAATGTGAGATGCACATGAAGATCTATTTTCGTAATTGTGTGCTATGTATTTTATTTTCGCAATTGTGTGCTATGTATAAGTTGCTTAACATGAGGAAACAGAATTCAGGAAATCCAGGTACTTTAAACTTTATAACCGTCGCACCAGTTTGACACCACATTCACTCCCAGAACAATATTGGATCTTATGGAGAGTTTCTTTGAACTTTCCGCTCAACATTCATCGTTCTGTGTGCGTTTATGAACATTCTCAAGAATATGATACATCATCATTCTGTCAATAGGATGATAATGAGCAAACTTCTCCTTTTTGGGAGCATGATACACACTTTTTGCCGGCTGAGTCGAGCAAAGAGACAACTGCCAATGATGCAAAACCATAGGTGATCATCGAGGAGTCGTCCAAGAAGAATCCCAACAGTACTGTAAACATCAGCCGTGTCGAGTCAAAGATCAGTGAAAAGCGTCTGAAATTAGTCAGTCATAGAAAACCTTAAGAAAGGCGCAATTCCTCCAAGGAACAAAAAAGAACACGATCTTTTTTGAGGATTTGATAATGAGAACTCGTTCACAGAACACCTTTATTGGTGAGCTTTCCCTGTCCGAAGTCCAGATAGCTCAAACTTTATTACTGTCGCACCAGTTTGACATCACATTCATCCCCAGAACAAAATGGATCTTATGTAGAGTTTCTTTGAACTTTTCGCCCAACATTCATAGTTCTGTGTGCGTCGGTATTAGCACCGAAGCCAGTTCTAGCCTTGGAGCCTGCACTAGCCTCACTTCAGCTTCAGCTGGTACAAGTTCACGTAAACGAGAGGTCGGCAAGGTTTGCATCGAACATGACTGAGAAAAGACGAAGTTTAAGCTTTTGCTTTCGAGAAACGACCTTCGCTATAGCGTGAGTGAAAAAATGGGGATTTCGTTGTCCTCACGCGATCAATGGATGAAATCCTTGGTCGGCAGTCTCCCTCTGATAGCACTACGTATGAGATGTCACGAATTGCACGTACTGTACAGAAAGTCAAATCTGTCAGTTACGTGGAACAGTTTACCTGGTCACATGCGAAGGATGCGGTCAAAGATACGTAGGCGAGACCATGCGACCACTACATAAAAGGATGGATGAACATGTGCGAGCGTTACGCAATCCCTCTTCCTACCCTAAGAGCGGATTCTCGCGACATCGTGTTCTGCACCACCAGCAAGAAGCACCCCCCGCTCTAAAAGTGACTGTCATACACCGCACGAAGGAAGCCCCATTAGAAAGAAAATTGCTCGAAGCCCTCATCAAGCGGCTATCCCCCGAGATCAACAACAGGGAGGAGCTCATGGAAGCAATGAGGCTAATAGGATAGCGGTAGTGATAAAGAAATGTGTCAAATGTCACGCGCGTCACATTTCTAGCGACTTTTAGTTGCATTGGCAGTTGCGCTGGGGTAAGCTGGTCATCCATTGTAGTTTAATTGTTGACAGTTGCACGTTTCCCATTGTATTAGGCATTGTATTACAGACTCTAACCAAATTGCCGTTGACGGGCAGGTCAACCTGGTTTGTATTTCGAGCAACTTAGTTGTTAGGAATTGTAATACCATGTATACTTGATTTCATTTAAGGTCTGACGAAGCTGTTAAGACAGCGAAAGCTCACCAATAAAGGTGTTTGTGAACGAGTTCTCATTATCAAATTCTCAAAGAAGATCGTATAACCTATGAGGCTCAGGGATAGCTCAATTTTATCATATCTGAAAAAAATAATAACAAACTTGTGGTCGAAATAGTAGCCAAACATTTGTATGTACATGACTGGAAAAGCGAGTCGGCATAGGAATTCAGTCCAGTCTAGAAACGAGCGGATGATAACGAATTGCAGAAAGCAAATCAGAAGAAACAGCCATTGTGCTAGCAGATAGCAGCGAATGGGGACTGCTAGAGGAGGGTTATAACGAACAATAGGACTCTCGACCTGCAAATAAAGTTGCCCTCAAAACTCCTTCTAGGAATATCAAAACCACGCTTCAGTGCTCATCGGATGCGGCTCATTCCGTACGAGAGTCACAGTTCAGTACATATATGCCTTACTAATGCCGTAATTGATAAGGGTGGGGCCCACCTCAGGAACTCCATCTGTATGATCCTGTAGAGATAGCCATAAAAAGAACCGTTTTGTTTTCATTCCTGGAAGGTAAGCTGGCGGCCAGAGAGCAGCCTTCATCTGCAATGATCATCATTGCTAAATACATAGCAGCTTTGCACATTGTTAAATACATGTCTTTTACATACGGAAGCACTGAGCTGTTTCAGTTGCTCAAAAAAAAGCTTCTGGCCACAAATGCAACTCCCACCTTATTCCATGAACCTGGAAAAATCTCCTCGTTTTCCTCGTTCCTCATCTGACCTTTATCGTAGCCCATAGCCTTGAATTCGAAGAACTAAAAAAAGCTGTTCACAGTTCCTTCGTTTGACTATCAAAATGACAATCATTGCACAAACCTCACACCACATGAGATCAAATGATTTCACTGGGGTAACAAGTCCGAACGCGATCTCCTCGTCCATGCGCTCCGCTGCGTATGTGCCAAAAAGTCGAGTGAAACTGTATGCGCCTTCTGGACATAATTTCTGAGCAATTATGAAAATGAAATAGAAAATGGTTTCAGACTGAAATCACTCCGGAGGACGGGGAAATTTGGAAATATCCAGTGTATATCGCTTGATGTTACTCGAAATTCAGATGGAATTTGGCAAATATTCGAGGAATATATCCTCTGATAAATTCTTCAGTCTACGCCTCAGCGAGCGGAGAGAGCGAAGACCTTTGTTTGAATATAGTTGATAACTCATCACCTGTCCCATATGATGAAAACGCCGCCATAGTTCCTGTCGACGCAGTATGGGTTCCTGCCGTGATGGAAACGGTGGCTGGACGGAGTACAAATTATGTACTCAAGTGGGCCGAGTGGAGGTATGCACTGAAGATTCACTATTAGACTCGCTTTTGCATACTTGGTCCTTGTTATTCATATAAAATCTTACACTGGCGTGAAGCCAGAATTGGAAGAGGATAACCAGGTAGCGGTGAACTATAAATACGTTAGGTGGGATGGCAACGGCTTGAAGCAGGTCGAAAAACGTCATTGCAACGTCCTCAATTGATTAGGAATTATTGACTATATCGAGTTGTGGCTCAGATTTAGAGTTCTACAGGCCTTTCAAGATGATCATGCACTAGCGATCTACTCAACACAACTCGCTTTGCATGTGGAAAATAGCTCCTGTGTCAGATCTCCTGGTCATTTAGAGCTTCGCTCAGTAAAGGCCACGAATGTGCGGGCTTCAAAATATTCAAGAGGCGCTGCAAGCCGTGTCACGTAGTGTTGTATTTTGGAGGTCCGCGTAGTAGTATCAGTAGAATGTGACTCAGGTAATGTGGCTGCAGGCTGTGCCCACTGGCATTCTACCCGTCATTTGTTAGGAAGCTCCAGGGACTCGGTGACACTCTTAGTCCACACAACAGCTGCGTTCGTGTAATTTGGTCACATCCAGAGGAATTGCACGAGTTGAGGGATTAGGACGCTCACTCAGTTGGGGTAAGACTCTATCAGAAGCTTCCACTCGGAAGGACAGGCATCCAAAACCTCTGCCCTCTTTTATGAATAATCACATTGAAGTACCTGAATGGCTCCCATCCGTGCAGCAGTAGTAAAGTTGTAGTACTCAGAGGAATGATGAATTTGATGAAAGGACCAGAATATCCCTGCTTTTAAAAAGTGAAATCATGGAAAAGGACGTTTTAGAGTCTGTACATGGGACAAAAAAGAGTTCTATTTGCTGTACCAAAAACCAATGTATCCAATTGCTTAGGCAGCGTTCAGACATAGCGACGGCATTTTTTCGGTGGCGCGTCCGACGCGACCGATGCAGTTAAAAGCACGTACATCAAACGCGCCGAACGCGCGACCGAAGCGCTGCCGTCGCGAAGTCTGAACGCTACATTAGGATGGCGAAAATGAAAGATATAGCTGATTGGCCTTCCTTGGGAGAGGAAGTTCGTTGTGTGAAAAATGATGAATCTGCACGCGATTCTCATTCAAACCTTGTGCGGCGTGTTCGTGTGAAAAACATGGGCTTTTCTTGCGGAGCATCACCTCGTTCTGACTTCCGCTTCCATTTTCCTTACGAGATGCTGTACTGCTGCCCACAGTACGGCATCTCATCAGAAAAGATCAAGACATGAGAATGCCTCACTTATTTCACACCATTTCTGCTCCATAGACATGTTTCACGTTCGCTGCAAATGTCGTCAGCGTACCGGATAGTGTAGTGTAGTACATCCTATAGCTGTACTACACTGCCACGTCTTTTATTTCAGTCGACGCATAACATTCTCAGGAGCGAGAATGATCTTTGGGCCAAATGAGTGAGCATCCTGTCACGACAGGAACGAAAGCCCCCACCGAATAACTGGAGTGACGCTCAGCACAATTTCGCATTCTCGTACTTCTACGAGTTTCCATACGTCTAAAGTAACCGCACGTCCCGAGTTTCCTCCGAAACGTCATCACCTACATATTGCGGAGAATGCTGTGCAACACCTCTCCCACAAGCTAAGCTTACCATGTATAGCTCGATGACCGAGATAATAGACGAAATCCTGTGTGAAAAGGCACAGTAACCACGTGAAAGCAGAGTTGTCTGGAAGATCTATGAGTCGCAGTCGATTGTACACCATCGGATAGAATGAAGCTGCAAGAAAGCGACCTCCGCTCCTGGAATGAAATGGAATGAGAATGACAACTTTTTTGTACCAGAGACGCTACTGCTACTCACAATCAGAATCAAACTGCACACTCACCTCCATAAATCCTGGCTCCTGTCGTGGGTGAGGAGAGCGGTCGTTATGTGCAGTATCGCACAACTTTCTCCAGTCAAAAGTACGCGAAAAGGGGACCGGGGTAGGGGTGACCTCCATACATCGTTTGCGCTGCCGCACGGTCAAGGTCCACGGACAATTTGAACTCAGTTCCTTTGAACGCGGCGGAATTGTGTTTTTCTCTGCTCTCTCTCTCTCTCGTCCGTCCGGCACTCTATAATCATTGTGGCTTCGCACATGCCAGCATCTCACATATGATAAGTGGCTCACCAACAGTGGAGTCTTCCCCTTGGACAAGCTCATTTCTTGGCTCGCCATAGTTTCTTGAACTTCTCGATGCATTGACAGGCGCTGCAGTCTATCTTTGTGCTCTCTTAGCTTCGCAACAGGACCATGCACAAAAATTCAAGATGTTACGTGACCCACGGTCAGCCGCGCTCCCGAACGAAGTCGAGCGTAACCTTGTTTACGCCCCTCACTTCTGGTTGTTCTTTTCGCTGCAGGACCATAGTATCGAAGCGGAAGTAAAGAGCAGCAAGACAGCACTCGAGTACCTCTACCCCGCGACCCCGTCCCATTGCACTTTATCTCGCGGACAAGGTGGCACTCTCGCAACTGCAAACCCATTCGCCTCGCATGCGGTAAGGACCCCATAGATAACTGCACAGCTTTTCTGCCAAAGGGTCAGTTCTGAAGCCATCATTTAATTTTGAGAGTTCAACAGATAAGAGATTTACTTGATGAGGAGGAACAGCAATCCTATATTCATCGATGTGATCGCATCGTTGAATGCGTACTTTTTCTTGCCCAGCATCACATCAGTTATCAAATATTCACAGACAACCAACAAGAACATCCATGCTGCTCCCTGAATATAACACATCACCAGAGGTTTTGACTGCAGTCGAAGAGCGAGCACGCTTGCAGCGGGTATGTTCGCATGCATACTGGCTTTTCGAGCGACTTTCATTTTTACCAAATCATAAGCACAACACAACAGACCCGAGTAACGAATGAATGGCATGAAACACTCCTGGTGGTGTATTCTTCCGGGAAAGGC